GAGTGCAGGCAACAAGGAGGAAGTGTTTCTGTGTGCAAAGAGGAAATGAAGTGGCAATAAGAGCAGCCAAAGGGGAAATGCTCTTCACCGTGAGTTTAATACATCAGACTGGGGATTTGGCAGCCCGCCACACACCAATTGTTTACCTTTTTGCTCACTGGCTGCATCTGTTCTGTTTTGTAAACGGCACTAAACTATTCGCCCGTAAACACCGGAATCAATAACAACTGCTAAGGGAATTCCCTTATCCCACCCCTTGCTCTCTTTCCCTCATGTTTTCATTCCATACCACCACCTCTCCTCCATCTCCAAAACACACTCTCTCTCTCCTTCTGTCCCTCCCTCTCTCTCTCCTCCTTTCTGCCAGTCAGATCACTGTGTTGTGTTTGTGTGCAAGGGGAAGAGTTTGTCGTAGAACCGAGGATGTACACTGGAGAGACAGACAAAAAGATGACTGATGGCTCGCCAAAAGTATCTGTACTTCTTTTGTATTGTGTTGTTGTCATTGTTAAAAGCTGCACTGAAGACCAGCACTAGTGACTTTCCTTTTCTTTCAGTGGTATTTCTGTTCTCTGTATAAGCACCACTAATTCTCCTACATAATATGTGTAGCTTGTTCATTTTGGTTTTCATTGCAGACTAGAGAGATCAAGCATTGATTATGTTGTCATGTCAGGGAGAAATTACATATGAACATATCATTCCTCGTTTCCAGCCTGTGCTTTCAGCACCTCTCTTATTGATTCTCAGTACATTGACCTTTAGTTGAACTCTGCTCGTAGCTCGTGCCCTTACTCATTTCTGCTCTATGAGACATCCTATGCACCATGCTATATGACACACCTGGGTGCTTTTAAGCACACCCCTTCCATCAACTGACTATGAGAGCCTCCATTTGGCCTTACTGTTGTGACAAAGGTATAATGAGCTTTAGATGGCGATGTACTAGATCGCTATGGCTATAAAGCTATAAGGCTATTTGGCTTGTAAGACAACTATAAATACTTATATAGCATGGATGGCCAAACCCAGTGTAGACAACAACCCAGCTAAACATCAAGGTCATGTTCTCATATTGTAGTATAGTAGTATCATAGTATCATAGTGGTGGTAGATCTTTTCGGGCTGTGTTTACAGAATAGCAATTGAAAAGAAGAGATGTTAAAGTTGTAAGTTATCCCTAATTCTTACTGATCACTACTGATCACTTTCAGGGTTTTGCCCAGAAAGGTACTGATCACTTTACAGACCACCTCATTCTATGTAGTTCTGTGTCCCCTTGTCTGGTTTACCACAACATCTTTATGGTTTGTACTATGATGTCAAAATCTTTAATAGTTAATAGTTAATAGTTATGTCACTGCATTTATGGATGAACAAGAAAAAAAAATGCAACACTTGAGTGTCAGCTAGGGCACGCATGTAGAGAGGTAGACTCCCACTGGACCCCATTACACAAGATCTGCGATGCTTTAGACACGTGCAATTTGATTACATACACATATATTCAGACAGACACCAAATAACAATCTGATTTCACAGACATGTGCACATAAATACATGTATACTTGTAGACACACAAACAAACTTGGGGTCAGAATAGATTTGGTGGTGACCATGAAGTCTGGTTGCAGTGGCAATTATCCTGTAAGACTACCATGTTCAACATTGAGTCTTCTCCAAATTAGGATAGTCAATGAGTGGCATCACACAAACATAAACATGTGTGCAGTCTGCCAGACAGCCTCGCTCGAAAAAGTCTCTCCTTATAGACATGCATGTGAACATACAAGTGCGCCCAAACCTAGAGTGATTCATGCCTCATGCATGATTAATCTGTTCCTTGGGGAGATTGTGTTGTCACATTGTCAGAGTTTGTTAAACAATATGGCAAGATTACATTAGGATCCACAAGCAATAATGTAACAATTATTGAAAAGGTTTCCTTCTTCTTTCTTTCTCAGCACTCAATCATCGGCTGGATTTAAAAGTCAAAGCAAATACTGAGCTCATCCATTCCCAAATGCCTTTGCAATAGAGCTGCTCATTTAGGCGAACACACAAAAGTATTTGTGCATGTGTCTGGGAGTACGGCAACACATCTCCAAGCTTCCCATTCTCCGGCTTTAATGCGGAACATCCCCCGGGTGATGGCTTTGGCAGCCTCCAAAATGGGAAATCCATATTTGCCAAGGGGGTCATCAGCGGGTTAGGAGAGAAAGTTTTTGTGCCGAGAGAGCTGCATGAACATGTGTGACTTCTCTGGGAGAAAAGTTTGCATATATTTCCCTTTGTCTTTGTTTATGCGCTGTATTGGAAAAACATGAACGGTTCGATATTTAAAAAAAAGGTGTTGTGTTTGGCAAGACTCAGGGAAAGGTGTTTTATGATGAGTGTGTAGGTTTGGAGGTTGAACTGAAGAACTATTTTACCAATGTTTTTATTCTGCACAGCTCTATTATTTGTTTGTAAGCCAGGATGTCAATATTAACCACTATGTTTTATTTCTCTTCCCTAGCACCTGTAGAGGTTTTTGTGAAAAGCAGAACTTTCAGTCTGACTTCGCACCAGCTAGGGGCCTTAACTCAACTGGCCTGCCAATTGCTTGAATTTGAGAGTGCAATAAAAGAAGTTATCAAACAGATGACGTACATCAGTTGTACTGGACACCCTCCCTGTGTTAAAGGTACTGATCACTTTCTTCGACTTACACTTTTGGCTCCAACTTACACATGGCAGGATGGTGTGCATCTTTTTAAAGTTGGCTTTTTGTTTTCTTATCATCTGTTAACTGCTCTTTATATAACTATCAAACTGCACATTTGCCAATTTTGCGGCATGACACTCGCGCTATCAATAGAGACAATGCCATGGAAAATAGACACCAAAAATACTATATAATATAACATAAGGATTGCAGATTTAATCAACAAAACAAACGGCAATATTGACAAACCATTTCCAGTTGGATCATAGGAATGATAGATCAAAATAAAAATATATAATTCAAAACTTTACACGTTACTGCAATTTCTCGCGTTTAACATTTGCAACGGAATGAAAGGGCAGCGTCTCTGAGTGTTGTACAAATACAGTGAAGATGCATCATGCTGCTTCTATAGTAATCCTGACTAAAGTGCAAGGACAGGTTCAATTCTATCGTCCACAGGGCTGTCCACAAAGAGTGTTTTCAGAAATTGCACTTTTGGTGTCAGGCCCAGTATAATACTTTTATGAACATTTTCTAATGAAGATTAAATGTTCAAAAGAAGCTGTATCTACATCTCTACTATTTTCTTCAACTGGAAGAAGTTGTTCACAGTGACCAGCCGACTGACTGACAGCCATCCTTTCTATAGGAATGCATACTTCATATGGACACTGCACTGGTTATTACAGTGACCAATAAACCGTTAATCCTCCTCCTCATTTATTTAAACTTTCTTTTTAATTCTATCAAATTAGTTTATTATGTTGCATGTAACATTTGAATGTAGAGGAGTTTGAGAGAACATCATTAGTCTGGGAATCATCTTGGGTTTTACAACCGTCTTGAGCATCCTTTTTCTCTCACCTCTTTGAACTGCTGAGGCAAAGATGTTAAACGAAAGCTTTTGGTGCATGGCATAATTTCCATAAAGGTTAAATTTACAAAAACAAGACTTGCAGAAAGGCTCAATTTACAGAGAGGTAAACAGCCTTTAAAGGGCAGTTATCCAAATCATTAATTCTAGGCAATCAAACGGCTTAATTACCAGAAATTCATCAGATGGGCTTAAAGGTCAAAAAGTGATGCGCTCACTACTTTCTCCTCCTTCCGTTCCATGTGGTCTTGTTCGGCTAAATTGCCTCGCCTGGGGTGTCACTCTTCGCCTTCTGATTAGGAAACTGTGGCCTTGATGTTCGCGCTTTTTAATTGCAAAACTGAGCCCAGTGCGCTTGCCATGCTTGTCTGCAACCATCATTCCCCGTACACTTTCCACCTCCTCGCACATTTACACAGCCCCTGCCCCTATAGAATTATTTAGAACTGTGGATTCAAATCAAAAGTATACTCCCAAAATTAGATGCATAAATGTCTTCACCATTAGATACAATCTATGGTGTGACAAGTGTGAAACAACTATTCTGTTGTCAATATGGCTTATTTTAGTTAGAAATGATGGCACCAATTTTGGCTTGTTGTTGTCTACTTTCATGCTTGCAACTAGCTACCGGTCCACTGTAAGAAATCTTACAGTTCATATGCACCATATGGAAAATGAATGCCATTATTATGAATACATCTTTTATGTAATCATACACATACTACATCTTGTTTTACTGTGACATGGCTCTTTCTGAAACATAATTAAGTCTGATTTAAATTGCTTTCCACCTTTTAGGTTCCAGAATAAAATCAAGCTTTGATGTGACAGATACCAAAAATGTCAATGTAACTACTCAATCACCTCAGCATCTAGAGGTAAGACTACTTGTTTTGAATGTACAAAACTTATTATAATAATATGTTTTTTCTTCTAGATTCAGTTTCTACAATTTGACTGGAGGTTGGCTTTTAAGGGTCTGGTCCCTCAGATGGCTCATTGTGTCAAAGTAGTACTTGATGATATTTGTAACAAAAGTCTGCAGCAGGAACAGGCCTTACATTCTGCTGGAGAAATCTCCCTGGCCCTCCTCGGTACTCGAGATATTACCACTCATGCCATCAGCAAGTATGATGATTCCAAGAGAGAAATGCCTAAAATGATAGCTCACGTGAGTACATTCTCGTTTGTATGTTAATGATACCAAGTGTCAAAATCAGTCTGTGGCCCAAACCTGTAGAATCAAGGGTTAGATTGTGCAAAAGAAAGAAATGTGCAAACATGTTAAATGCAGGATATATTATGTACAATAAAAAGTGGCAATTCAAAGTGGCAATCAAGAAACAGTGTATTGACACTGTTTCTTGATTGCCACTTTGTAGTGCAGGTTTTTTTTTTCAATCCATATTCAAGTGACTTAAAGTGACTATCTTTTGCAGAAGCATAGTGAAAATAAGTTTACTTTGCTTTTTTACTCATACAGTATACTATACCTGGTGATCACATGTGGATTAGATAAGAATGATGAAAACAATAAATGTTACAATACCGGGGCGACAGTAGCTCAGTTGGTAGAGCGCTGATGTCTGCTGTTATTGTGTCTCTGGGCAAGACACTTGGCTTTGGCAGCCTCCACATTGCCTGAAGCCCTTGTGTCTTCGATCACGGAGAAGCCATCATCCCGTGGACTCACAACCTGCAGGAAGATCAGTGAGGGACATTGAGAGTGCATCGAGACATGGATGGCAGCTCTGATTGCCACCGCCCCGACCCAGAAATGGAATAATAAGGGGGTAGAAAATGACATGACATGTTACAATACCCATTTGTTCAGTTTTGTAGATTTTGTTGTATGAACTTATTTATCTTATGGCAGATGTGCATACTTTTTCAGTATTTAAAACATTTCATATACAATTCTGAGCACACACAGATAGGACTCTGACGCACGTTACACAATCACTTTCACCTTGACATTCCTGATGGAATTAGGCTTTGAGCTCCGCTGGTTATGGTCTCAGTCTGGCTCCGACAAGGGTCTGCAAGTTGTTGTTTTTCAGTTTTGGGGTGTGCCAGAAATGTGGTAGATTTTGAGATCTACAAACTAGTTTCATGGATTGTATTACATAGTTAATTTGTTTGGTCTAAAAGTTAAGTACTCCAGCTTTAAATTGGAAATGAGCATGCATATGATATATCTTGTTGCTTGGGAAATTAACAGAAGTTGTGTGTTTTTTGTATTATTACGAATTTTATAAAACTAGCAGCACGCTCTCTTCCCTCACCTTTATTTGACCTGCTTGCTATTTCTTGCCTCTCAGCACGTTTGACTCCCCACCTCTTTGCCAATGCACTGTAACATTTCTGCTTGGATGTGACTAACATGATGCATGCCGTTATGGAATTAGACAAGTGCTGATGTATCCTCTGAAGTAAAGGTTTTATTTGACCTGATACGCATTATGCATGTTCAGCAGCAGACTGGAAAGCATGTCTTTATTGCCTACATCTGTATTCTACATTCGTTCTCATGTTTGCCTTTCAGCTGTGTTATAGCTTGCGCAAGGTTAGGAAAAAAACATGTATAATCTCCAGCTCGATCTCAAATCTTTTGTCGTTCTGATAAGGAAATGTTTCATTATTTACACCTAATGAGCTCCCTTCCCCTCATGTTTTCTGACTGAGTTCCTTGATATTGATATAATCTTGTCTTCCTTTTCTCATAGTTCTGTGGAGCCATCATGAAGGAGATGAATGCCTTACTTCCCTTAGCTGCAGCCTGTAGGGACTGCTCTCTCTTGGAGGTTCGAATAACTTTTGTGGAAGCCTGTAGTACAGCAGTGTTTGCTATACTGGACCGTGTTGAGGAGCGAGCCAGTGAGGTACCGTCCTCAGCCCCTCTCAAAAACCTGCCTGGACTGTTGGCCACTGTCATGTACCTGCACCAGCAACTGCAGTACTACCACACACATCTCAAGGATTCAAATACTGCTGTGACCAAAGTGTAAGTTCATCTTGTGTGAATGGTTAAATAAAAATAAACAACAATGAAAAACAAATTAGCATATTAGAACATAATACTTATCAGTTGTATTGCTCTATTGAAGTGTAACGGAATATGTTTGAGAGTTCCCAAAACAATTCCTATGTTTGATTGTAATAACTGGTTCTTTATTATACTCAGATTCTCTAGTCATTTTTATTTGTGCATGTGAACATTTCTGAAAACACATTGATTCTGGTTAAGGTTCTTTGTGCCATTTCTTTTTAAAATAGAGGGCTTTACCCTGTGCCAAAAATGTGTTAAAATGGCAAACCAGGCCTGAAGGGTGGAGACATTAAAATGACTGGCAGGTCATAATGGCACCCATATTGTGTCTACATTTGGTGCCGTTTTATGCCTCATAATCCTTCCCATTAACCTCTGCTCTGCACAGATCCCCTCTAAAGGCATCTCTTGTGCCCTCTCTGCCCCTGTTGTTCCACCTCTGGCCTTTTGTACCCCCGCCTGCACTTGCTCTATGCCCCTTTTGGTCATAAAACCTCACAGCTCTCCTCCCTTGGTTTAAGCTCTCAGCACCTCTGCTTAACTATTGCCTCCCTCTGGATTAGTGATAGTATAATCTGTTAACAATCTGTTTAATTGTTAAATATTTCATTATCCTTCTACCAGAGTGTTTTTTTTTTTTTTTTTTTTTTTTTTTTTTTAAATATAGCCTCTAATACAGTGTCTTGCACAAGTACATTTTGCACACAAAAAAATTGTTTACGCCCACAAACAAAAAGATTATAATTTGGAGACCACAACCAACTGTGACATGAAAGCATTATGATGTATGTATTATAATTACATCTATATGTTCATTTATAAACTCATATTGTGCAAGTCCTACTTTTCGGTCTGTCTTTTTATGGTCTTTCAAACAATCTCCAAAACAAAATTGAATAGATGTAATTTTGTGGTCATAAAAATTACAAAATGTACATTCGTTCATGTTGTATTACGGTAGTCATTTTGGAATTTACAGTTTTGCCATTTTTGACTTCATCCCCCCAATTTCTTCTCAATTTGTTCTTATCAATGGTTTATGTCCCTCCTCTCTGTCTAGACCACTGACCTTGCTGCCAATTCAAAAGTGTCAAGATGCAGCAGAGACAATAAGAGGGCAGCTCACTACTTACTGTATCCAGGTTTGCTCGACTTGTATTCTGCAGGAAGTAGAGAGCCACTACTGGGATGACCCCAAACCCTTCGATGAGGTACTTTATTTATCTCAACACTGTGTAGTTAGATGATTGAAGAACAACATTTTATAAAAGGTTCAGTACTGTATCTCAACTTATTTGTTTCCAATTCAAACTTTGAATTTGAATGCCATGTGGGTTAGCAGCAACTCTCTGTAGAATTTGGAGGTTTCTCGCATCTGCTTTTCTCATTCACACAATGCACCTTCACCTCCCACTCTGCCTCTTTCTCTGCAAACCTTCTTCTCCGTGCTGCTTGTGAACATCTGTGGCTTCCATGCTGCCCCCGGGGCTCTTGGGTTTCAGTTGTCTGAAGTCTGCAGTCTACACTGGGACTGTCTGGAAACAGAATAGGGCCCCTCGAACTCCCCTACCTTTATGCCCTTAAACCAATCTAAACCATCCTCTCTCTCTTTTACTGTACCTGGCTGTTGCCTTTTTCCCTCTTTGTTCTTCTCGCTCGCTCTGGGTCAGTGGTGTCAGACAGACCTGCTGAGTGCAGGTGTGTGTGCTTTTACTCAGCCATGTCTGTGTATGCACTGTACGCATGAAAGTATGTGTCACTGAACTGGAGCAGTCATGAGCTGTCTTTATGACTTTGGAGTTTTTTTGTTATTGTTACCTTTTCTTTCGGTTTTGTTTACAAGTAAACAAACAACATATAGAACCACATGTGCTCATGGATCTATTTGTTATACTCTCGCTTTACACTTTGTCTCATACCCTCATGCTGCTAACATGTACAGATGTATACACACAGAGTTTTGTTCAAAAAGTGGAAAGGGGGGTTCTTTCCTAAAACCTGTAAGTCTTCTTCATCATCATGCTAAAGTTGGAGATTTTTTACGTGTTTCCTTATTATGCTTTTTTTCTGCTAGAGTTAGAGATTATATTTTATTTTATATAGAGTTACCATCAATTTATCTTGTGTTGTGTGGTGCTCATTCCTACTATCTGTAACTTGGGATGCAGCACTGAAATTTCCCTACTGTGGGACAATTAAAGGATCTCTCAATCTCAATACATACAAACAAACACGCACTGGTCTGGAACAACAGCACAAACACATAAGGTTTAACATGTGAGGCAATCAAGCAGCAATACTGCTAACAAAACCCCAACTGTGTCACACAATATCAGCATCATCGACAGAGCCACAATAACCACAAACTGATTCAAAACAAATATAAATATTGTTTCTTATTAATATTTAATATATTATTATTATTGCTATATATTATTGCTAACATTGTGAGGAAGGTATTATTCCAATGACGTTCTGGCAATGCTTTGTGGTAAGAAACTATTTTTGCACCTATACTATACCATACTGTACCATTCTAGGGGTATACAACAAAGCTAAAGCTAAGCTTCTCTTTCTAAGTTCAATGAAAAACACTGATTGATTCAAAAAGCTTGGTTTTGGTACTAATGTAAAATGAATGTATTAATTTTACAGTATTTACTTTCAGGTGCCTAGTCATTCCCCTTCTGCTATTCTCACATTGATTGATTGACCATAAACGCTCAAACTGAGACAATTCAAACCACACATTGTACTGTCTGGCTTTGCTCTGATGAGTCCACAGGCAGAGAATGGCACTCTAATCCCGGACATAGATATTGGTCATGGTCCTAATCAACCACCAATCCTTAAATGAGTGACTTGAGGGGCTGAAGCAAGGCAAAACAAATGACGAATGAACCAAACTTGTGTGATGTCCAAAGTCTCTTGTACTTCTGGTTGGGTTATTTTGTGATAGGATGTTTTGTACAAGGGACTTCTTTCACATTGTTTAATAGATTGGGAACATGGTGCAGCCAGGCTCATGAAATTAAGCTTTCTTTATTTAATTAGTAACAAAAAATATCGAATTCTGTGTAGCCATTTCTAAATTATAGATTTATATGTACAGCCAAAGAAGGAACGTTGTATTTGCTTACAGTTACAGTATGTTGTACCCAGTTGCCCTAACACTGTAGTTACTTACGAAAAGTTCTAAACGTTTTTCCCCTCTTGATACGATACTAAAAACCTTCCGATGCAACAATGCCACAATCTGTTTTACACACATCTCTCAAAACTTTTCCTTTTCTTTTTTGTCAAACATTAAGCACATGTAATAAGTATATAAATTCACAGATGCTTTTATGATCTATTTCTGTTGTTTTAGTCATGCTCTCTGTACTTGCAGACATCTGTGTTCTAGTGCAGGCCTATGATGTATTTTCTTCTTCAGTAGTAAATTCCCAGTTGGATAGAAGAAGCCCAGGTGCAGAGTGCAGGTGGCAGGACCACTGAGAAAACATTGTGTTGACAAACTTAACTTCCAAACCTCCATATGTTTCTTTGACCATTTTTATCATACTGCCTTAGTTTTCTTAGCATTGCATCTCTGCTAAGGTCCATATCATAATCTGTCTCTCTGTATTGCACTTTCCTCTCATCTTTAGGGGGAGCGGTGTTCCTTCTCGGTGCAGATGTGGTATTACTTCCTGTGTGGGCTCCGCAGTGATCTGTGGCCTGTTCTTCCTGCGGCGCTGTCTAAGGAGCTGCTTGGGAATGTGCTGTCAGAAACTCTGCAGCTGCTGCTACAAAGATATGCTATGGCCCGGCCCTCATACAGAAGACACCTGCAGATTAGGTACTGTTATCTTTTTACATAACATGTATTGACCAACAAAACCCTGTCATTACAACTTCGTACATTATCCTGTCCAAATAATATAATATTTACTTTTTCTAATTCGAATGTAGGTGAACTAAAATGTCTTGTTAAAACAAAACCAAGTTGTTGATGTAAGGTCTATTTACCTTATTTCTATTATTCAAGGGTGTATTGACAGGCCAGTGTGTGTCCTTGCTACTCTCTGTCAATATATCTTCCCCAAGTAGTTATGCACATTAAATTTTTATTTTTAAGTTGAAATGAATAAAATAATCATAGCATCTTGTAGGAGCTTAATGGCTCTTCCATCAGGTTACACCGGATTTACAGACAAAGCTAATTAGTGTAAGGGTGTGTGTGGATTCCTAAAATATTATTATGACTTTGGGGCCATTTATGGTTGCCATGCTATGACATTTCCATATTGAGGTTTTTCCTTTGTGATTTTTAGGTGTGACATCACAGCAGTGCTCCTTTATGTGGAAGAGTTGATGTGGAGTGTCTGTGAAACTCCAGAGAGCTTGGCGCACATCCCTCCTTCATCAAAGACAAAAGTAAAAATGAATTCCTCAAAATGGCCAAAGGTGATCCACAATTTGTGCAATGAACTCCTCACGGTGCTCATTATTGTCACTTCCCCTCTCTGTTCATTGTACAGGTCAGTTCTTTCTCTTGATAATGTACACAAACCATGCATTAAGGAACAGTTGGCATGGATTATTTCACTCCCTACAATGTGTTCTCTCTAGAGCTTTTGTCCATAATCCATGGCGTTCGACTCAGACTGTTGGCCACCCCAATGTCCAATGGCTTCATGTCATTAACCCTGACCTTTTCACTGAAGGAGTCATTAAGTAAGTGAAATCATAATAGTAATTAAAAAGGTTTTCTTTAATTACACAACACATTTATAGTATTGCTCAACATATGTGTACAAGGGTTTGATCAAGCACACCCAGCTCACAGCCAGAGGTGATGTCACTGCTCATTGATGGAGCGCAGATCAAACTAACACCCGTTCTGTAAACTTGAAGTCTTGAACTGCTGAAATGAGTTTGTTTTTATGACCTCTTTATTTCTTTCCTCTCAACTTCTGTCAGTGTGCAAAGGGGTAATCAGATGATTCTGTCCAGATACGGTTTTGTGTTACATGGCTATTAACTAAACACCATTGTTTTTGTAATAGAAGAAAATTGAAAACATCAACAAATTCTAGGCATGATTAAAATCTGGGAGTTACATGCACTTATATTTATTAAGCTTGCTCTTTGACTTGGAATGTGTGCGTACCAAATGCGTCTGGGTGTTGTGTTTCTGGAAGTTGACCCTGCGCTGTAGCTGGATAGATTTATCAGAGCAGTTAAAAGAGGATTTCTTGGGGATTTGCAGTCCCAGTGACATCATAAATTGCACTGTCAGATTTAGGCCTAGTTTTCTCAGTCAAGCAGCAGGGGTCCTCAGCTTTCTGGCTCGAATAGAATGGTAAATATCTGAACACGGTACCTCTTTATAGCCATTAGACACTGGACAAACCCTGCTTTTTCATGTCATTAGAATTTATAGAGATGTAAAAAGCAAAAATACAGGCCATTGCTTATCAGCATGCGTTCACACTTTCTCTCATACGTAACCACAAAAGCCTGTGTGCACACACTTACAAGAGCACACAGCACGGACACGGCTCATTACCCACAGCTGGCTGCAGCCTCTTGCTTATACAAAAGATGTAGCGGGGGGCACTGCTGTATATTCATGTATTTGGCTGTTTCCCAAATGTTAATTTGCTTTTAGCTGGCCAAGATTAGAGCTGATTTTTTTCATGGTGTTTCCTTTATTGTATAAAACATTTGTATATGAAGGATTTGGAAAGAATTTGGCTCAATAGTATTACTTTTATTTTAGCTCTACCTAGACATCTTGAGAGCTCTATTGTTATAATGGCGAAACGACTGCCATGGCTACACTCACCTGACACTGCACAACTGTCAACTTTGTTTATTTTATTTTGATTTTTACAGTGAAGGCCTCAAGGACCAAGCAGCCTCTACTTGTCAGTTAAGGTTGCTGACCTCTGACCTTGGAAATGATCCCACAATGCTCCTCCGGACATTGCTGAACAGAGACTGTCACCTGCCCAGAATACTTCTGAAAAATATGAGTACGTCTGCTTTTAATCCGGTACACATGCAACAACTCTTCTTCTGATAATTGATAAAATCAAACTATTAATAGTTTAATACATTACCGTATGACCCTAATCATTACTCACGTGAGGTTTCCCCTTTTTTATAAAGCTCTAATCAGCATAATTTTTACCTCGGTCATCATAATCACTAAATCAATAGAGCACAGTAATAAACACTCTACAGGCTCAGGCAGAGCATGCAGGCTGACCTTTAAAGATTTCCCCTTTCTTCTTCTCTGGCAACAGTCTAACCTTTAAAGACTGTTGTGCACTCGCACATTATTTCACATTATAGCGACCTCATTAATAACAACTTTCACTGTCTCATTCTTGCGCATGGTCTGAGTCCGGCTTCCAGGCGTTGCAATGCTTCGCTCTGCACGCTGCCGTAAATCAATGCTTGAAGCGCTGACTCTTGCGTGTTATCACGTTGATGGGCTAATTAACCAAGAAGGAGACAGACAGAAGAAACAGCTTGACTGAATGCCCACTATACTATTATAAGTCAGTAGCTGCGATTCGTCACATTATGAAATCAATGATATTTTGAGCTCAATAAAAAAGTATTGTGTTGAGATTAAGCACTGACAATTACTTCACATAAGTCTTAGGAATACATTGTCATATTAGATCATGTAAACTAGGCTTCAAAAGGCATTGTATTATTTATAGCAAAATTATTATGACTAATCTTTTCATTGATACACTGCACTAATATGGAAACTAGTGAAGAAGTATTGGTGACTTCCAAGGGGAGATGAAGGGTACTTCAAACTTTTATTTTCTAAACACTTGTTAAATATTGCGCTCGTGTTACTATGTATTAGCATGTCAATGATCAGGAAAAAACTCATTAGTTTGATTTATTATTATATCCATTTGTTTGTTTAGTCTTTATTTGAAAGGTACAGTGCACAGCAACATTAAGCTCAATGACATATGTTCTGCATCAGATTATAGCTACACAGCTAATTTCCATCTACATTATTATATTGATAATAATTACGTGATATATTGATGATGAATGATAATGAATAATTATTATATTAATACATTATTATATTAATAATAATGACACTAATAATAATCATGAGGGGGCGACAGTGGCTCAGTTGGTAGAGCATTGACTGTCATGGTTTAAGTTTATTTCCTGTTTTATTTTGAAATGTGTTATTCCTGTGTCTTCTTTGGTTGTACTTCCTGTTGTCTGATTACCTGCCCTGCCCTCATCTGTCTCACCTGTGTCTCGTTAGTCTTGTATTTAGCCCTGTGTGTTCCTTCACTCCCTGTTCCGTCTTTGTCATTCCTTGTCTGTTTTAGTTTGGTCCTCGTTCCCGGTGTTTTTGGATTTGTTTCATCTTTTTATTAAATCCATTACTTTTTGCAGTTTTGCATTTTGGGTCTCATTTAATTTCACCCCCGTGACAGAATGACGGAACCACTCAAGGCCCAAGCAGACTGCTTTATTTTTGTTTTTTTATTTTTTGTCATCTCTGGCCCATCTTTGTCCCCGACTGGTCTTGACAGTTGCTGCAGGAGCTGGACGCATTCCCTGTCTGTCTGTGTCCTGGACCACTGCAGGACACTTAGCTCCGTCCTGGGTGGTTGCAGGCTTCCGTTCCTGACCTGGCTCCGCTGGATATTGTTCTCCATCCAGGGGGCCTTCTGTACCCGTTTGGCTCCAGTCCTGGCTCCAGTTCCTGCTCCAGCTCTTCGGCTCCACGTCCCAGCCCCGGCTTCACGTCCCGGCCCCGGCTTCACGTGCCGGTTACTCCCCCCCCGGTCCTTCCTACGGTCCCCCTCCTCCCTCCCTGGTTTTGTTTTTGGGACGTCTGGGATCCGTCCCTTGAGGAGAGGGTATGGTTTAAGTTTATTTCCTGTTTTATTTTGAAATGTGTTATTCCTGTGTCTTCTTTGGTTGTACTTCCTGTTGTCTGATTACCTGCCCTGCCCTCATCTGTCTCACCTGTGTCTCGTTAGTCTTGTATTTAGCCCTGTGTGTTCCTTCACTCCCTGTTCCGTCTTTGTCATTCCTTGTCTGTTACAGTTTGGTCCTCGTTCCCGGTGTTTTTGGATTTGTTTCATCTTTTTATTAAATCCATTACTTTTTGCAGTTTTGCATTTTGGGTCTCATTTAATTTCACCCTCGTGACAGAAACACACAGGGCTAAATACAAGACTAACGAGACACAGGTGAGACAGATGAGGGCAGGGCAGGTAATCAGACAACAGGAAGTACAACCAAAGAAGACACAGGAATAACACATTTCAAAATAAAACAGGAAATAAACTTAAACCATGACATTGACAAGTCTCTCCAGAAGATACGATGTAAGCTAGCTATGTTCACCAGGGCTTTGTTTCATCTTTGATCATTTTTTCGCTTTCTTTCGCTCTTCTCTTCCTCACTGTTGTGTCGTTTGAGCCGTTTTGCTGTGTCTGCAGTTACAGCCAGAGGAGTTATAGCCAATTCTGCTAACACGCTACTGTGTTTAGCAGCGCTGTAGAGGCTAGAGGACACAGCCTCGTTCTGTGAGTGGAGGAGAGCGAGCGTCACGCTAAAGTCTCTACTCAGCACTTTTTACGGCCTGAATTCATACACTAGCTGAATCAATGAGCTCAAGTTTTCAATTAAATTACAAATTATAATACAACTCGTATGTAGTAATAAGCATTTTTTATCAATTCAATACAAAAAAAATCGGGTATAGCATCTTTAAGGGGAAGAAAATGGATGGATGATAATCATAATGATAATGATGATGGGTTTAAACTTTATTGGAATAGAATATTTTCTACAAATACAATGCAACCACAATGTGCTTAGAAATGAGTCGCCAATACACATTCATTTTTGTAAACTATTTTATATATTTTTATGACAATCACACGAACAAACACACGAGTTAACCCTAACCCACAAAGAAATCACAAATATATGTGCAATAGAAAGCTGGTGGGTGCTGGACTGATGCCACTGGCCCTACACTTCAGCACCTATTTTAGCTCTGCTATTTAAAAGCAGTCCGGCATTAGTCAGAACCACGCCACGCTGCCCTCCGTCAGAGCGCCCCCTCACTGACTGCTGCGTTGCATTCAGTCTCCTATTCAAATAGCTGTCATCTCACACTGCAGCCTGACAGACCGCTGGATGTCTGCCACCTCTGGAGCGATGGGCCTCTCCTCAGCCAACCCTGTCAGCCACACACACGCACACGCACACTCACACATGTAAGGACATACGCACACATTCATATGGGTTACACATACACACCTACATGCTTATCCCTTCTGCTCTGACACAGCCCCCACAAGGACACCCTGTCAAAACCTCTTCCTTTTCACTTCCTGTCCCGGTGACCTGCAGATCCTACGGCCGGGGGCTTTGAATTGGGTTTCGTTCTGTTTTTCAGTTCTCTGTGTGTGTTTTATCATGTAACACAGATGTCGATCTATCGTTTTCTGTTCCACAATGCCTCGTGTTTCTATTGTGTCATATTGGGTAGCTTTGACGAATGTGGTTATAGAAGCAGAGTTTAGAGTTTGTTGGATTGCATTTGACTATTTTTTGCAGTACTGAGAGAGTTAATTGTAACTATTTGTATTGGAATTGAGTTTATTTATTTGCATTTATTAATTACAATTGAATAATAGGAATCCAAGATGATGGAGACTAGGTTTTTGTTTTGTCCTATCAAAGTTTGCGGCACACAGGTACTCCGGTTTCCCTTACCACTACGGATTTGTACAATAGTTTCAGTGTGTGTCGATGGGTGTGACTGTGGCACAATACGGAGGGATGTGTGTTCATTAACATTTACTGTCCCAACCAAATGCTTTCAATAATTAACATAAATAATACTTAATTTACTACCGGTACTCAAAACTATTCACCTTTTTCTTTCAGATTTTCAGAAGGAGTCAGATATTGCAACAAGTGAATACTGTAAGGCAGGAGACGACTTCGTGGCTGCGTTGTTCAACGTTTTAATTTGCTTGAATGATGTTCCAGCAGCCTTGACTCAAACGTTTCAACCATATATGGAGAGGGCACAACTCTGGACGCATCTCTTTACACTGGCAGGTAAAGTAAATCAGCTGCCTTCATAAAGTTGTCCTTCAGAAGTCTCAACAGCATACCATTACTTTGGATGATTTAGAATGTGAGTAAATGAATGGCCATCTTAGACCTTATAAACCTGTTTCAGAATCTAGTAATTCCATCAATTGAATTAGCTGCTTGGGATAAATAAAATGTTATTATATTGACACTTATTTTAATACTACTGTATATAACGATGCTTGACAATGTCATATTAACTTCTTTTCTAAGCTGTGAGTATGTAAGTGTTTAGGCTTTTGTATGAGGTAAGATGAACAAGAAATGGTATTCTACATAATGTAATCCAATCATTTTTCAAGAATCTTGCAGGGCAATTAGTTTAATTATTGGACAGCGCTAAATCGTTTTAATATAATTTTGGTTACAGGATACCCCCAGTGCCCACATTTAAAGTCTTTCATGAGTTAACTTTCATAGATAACACTCTGAAATTCTCTATTTCTTCACTTGCGTTCTTGTTTCATCACACAGTTGCTGCTTGTTTCAAATCAATACACCAGTCAATACAGTAGCAGGCGGTATGAAGTCTGAAGACCGAGTGACTTTGAAAAATAAGCCTTGGTCTCACCTGATATAGAATATTTCTCTCAAAAAACTATATCACTTTTTGTTCCGCTCCCCACTTTATGTCGGGGTTGTAGGTCACACATTTGTTAGGCGCCTCTGGAGATTTCTCTGTGCTCCTATTGCCCTATTCGTACTATATCACTTTCCTGTAGCCTTTGGTTTTACAGTTGACATTGCAGACTGTAGAAAGTTTATGCCTTCCAACACTATGTTATAGCCGCCGCTGCTTAAAGTGAAGATACTAAAGGGCAGGGCATTGAAAGTTAAAGAGCATCTGAATTCCTTTCATATTCTATAAAAAAGAACATTGTATAATAGGGCAAATAATACTACAGCAAGTGTGCAAGTTTTTTGGTCAACTCACTAGTTATTTTGATTTTGATTGCACCAGTTGATCATACAATAAAACTCTGTAAAAATAGACAATATTATCAACGTGAACTATTTACATGTTTCCTTTTTAGATACTCAACAATCTGCCCCATCAGTGATCAAATGCCTTCAAGATACCGTCATAAAATCCACACAGGGCCTCCTGGTGCATCTGGTGTCCATGGTGGTGGGCTGGCTGGCCACAGTGGATCCTGTTATCAAAATATGCCAATGGGACATACCAAAGTGCCTCTTGACTATAGTACCAAAGGAGTGGAACTATGCATGGGAACCAAAGGAAGAAGATAAATGTATGTAAACATGAAAATAACTTGTATAAACTAACATAAACTAACTTGTAACACTTTGCAGCTCTGGTCGCCTTTATCACTCAAGCCTTGGCTTTAGTCTTCACTAGCCTGCCCCAGGTCATTGAAGCTTTACCTATCCCCATTTGGTTGCTCTTTCATGAGGCTGAAAATCACCTCTCTCAGTATGCCCAGCAACTACGCTCTCAAGGCCTTTTGATTTGGGCTTTGCTGAGCTGTCTCACCCGAAGCATGGAAAAAAAGGAGACACTAGAAGAGATCACTGGTTTAGCTCTGAACCAGCAGACAGCACAGAGTCTGTCACTGTTGGCAGAATGTATAAAGGCTGCCATTGGGATTCAACACAAGGCAAGTCCAGTTTTGTTCTGTATTCTTTATCAAATTCTGTAATTCCTGTTTCATTTGTTAACAGTGTGTCTCCAAAACCACCATTCAAGTTGTACTGATGACCCTGGAAGACAAAATGCCTAACTGTATAAGCGCACAACTACAAAAAGCTCAAACATTCCTCTCAGAAAGGTGAGAATATAAATTTCCCGAAAGTTTGAAGTCCTACTTTTGGGAAATCTCATATAAAGGCCACCATGTAATGATAAAGTTATTAGAAACGTTATGTATTTTTTTCCTTGTGAGTCTATTTCTCATCGTTCTATAATTAGACCATTAAATTATGGAGTAATTTGTTCTGTGTAATCATTTTTCAAATAATGAACACAAACAAGATCAATATTTTGTCATGTTGAGTAAATGATGGACATGTTGTCTGATGGAGTGCCCCGCAGACTGGAGGGATGGGAAAACAGCTTTCACTTTGGGCTGCTCTGTGACCTTTGGCTCAGTGCTCTGCAGCCTGTTCCCAGAAATTGTGTCTGCTGGCCCCTACTTCATCATAACAAACTCTGAGTGTATTCATCCTCATAAAAGGCCACTGCGGTGCTCCACAGATCATGCACAATTAAAAATAAATAGTGAAATTTTCAAAATTAAACTTGCTTCTTGGAAATTCTGCTTCTAGATGCCCGTAATAGAGGATAAGATTATATTAAAAAGAGAAAATATGGTATATGTAGGAGGGGAGGAGGGGCCTGAGTGGAAAAGATGCTAAAGAGTGATTATGTATCACCTGTCGGAGACAGTTATTGAGATCATTACTATTCATTAAACTAACCTTCACAGGGATGTGATGCCGAGATTGTAAACAATGAGATACAGAAAAGGAACATGCTATGAGCACAGTATGGGCCCGTCTCCCTTCTGTGGTTAAAACCACAGTGTCTAGAGCACTGGGCACCAATCCTCCACTGAAAGTAGAAAATTATCTCATCCCATGAGTAAGGGATACATGTCCACTTAAGCATTCATACCTCTGTTCCCTCTTTCAATCGCTGTCTCAACTGTAACCCCCTGTCCATGCCACCCACCTTGTCTTTGCAAAGTAATTTGTAGAGGAGAAGATTATTGTTCTCCATCATGGTGACCCTGGCTGGGCTGACGGGATGCATACACAGATGAAGATGAATGCAGTTATTCCTTGGCGGAGGTCTGCCTCTTTCAGGGCACATTGGCCCTAATGACATGATTGATAGGCTGTCCCAAATCTGGAGGGGCCCTCATTAATCACCCCGCTGACTGAATCCAATCATCTGCTTCACCTGCACAGTGATGGACAGGAAAGGATACAGCGCAGGTGCTGACACGGATGCACAACCACCGTCACCGACATACCACCGCCGGGCGGCCAAGCAAAAGAATGAGAGGGATGTACGGACAAGATGGGACTCTTCTTTCTTTCCTGCTCTCAATGTCAAGCAGCCAATCGCTTCCTGACAGGCGACAGTGTTTCTGCCACCTTATAATTACAAAGAGGTAGGGAGTGAGTGCAGGCAAGAGGAGGTGAGCCAGGAAAGAGAGGGAACAATGACAGGAACTGTATGTGAAGGAGGATGTTTGATGGACGATAGTATCATATCCATCCATACAGGAAGGGCAGGAAAATGATGCGGGCGCCTGCCAGGGCTCCATGCCGCACATGCATGAAGACCTTGACACACAATTACACACGCACCATTCGCACTTAAAACACACACACACACAAATCATTTTTAGTGCCCTGAGATCCTTCAGTCAAAGTGCCCTATGTACCTCATGAATGGTAATGAAAATGCAGAATTGTTTTGTTATAAGTCAGTCAATAATTATGTGTTTCTCTCACTTTTAACAATGTCAGCCTCTTTTGTTTTGTGGAAAAGCTGGCAACAAATACATTTTAAATTCATTTGTCCTTCAGGGTAATTGTCATCTTTACAATTAAAGCCTTGTTGGTAAAAGTCAACAGAGATTTTTAGATAATTTTTACGCAGCAAGTTGGCAATTGTGTTCCAAATTCAGAGCTGAAATAAGGCATTTAGCCTGAGGTATATGTATTAACACACTTGTTGACATACCTCATCTCCCTCTTTGCTGTTTGTTGTTTCTGTCCCACCACTGTTTTCATACCATAAGCTTTTCTCCCTTGTATTTCATTCCCAGTGTATTTGTGCACAAAAAGGAGAGTGGAGTGGCTGAGGCTGAACTGACTGAGCAGAAAATAGGCCTGATGCTGCTGGAGGTCTGCCACAAAGCAGGTGGCAGTGACTACCTGAGGCAGATCTATCACATCATCCAAGGCAATGAGGTAGGGAAACACTCCCTCTCCCCAGCAATTAGGTAGCTGCTGGCCTGAGGCTGCAGGCTGTTCACCAGGGAGAGACTGAGGGAAGAGGACAGCAGCGAGTGAACACTCTGATCTTCTGCTTTTGGGCTCACCTCAAGGGCCCATGCCCATAGTGGTTTTCACATAAAGTGGAGTTGTGAAGTTACAGCTCACTCAGAAAATAAATAACAAATACCACATATGCTCTTTATATGAGAGATGAGTTTTAGTTTGGCATTTTTACCTCTTATCATGCATATCCATTCCCATGCTTTTGCTTTATTTATCTTTAGCTGCTTTCACACATGAATTCTAGCCAGACATCTTCTGGACTTTCTTTGAGCAGCCCCACGTGTCTGATGGCGCTTAAGAGAAGGATGCACCCAGATCTGTGTGTGCCCCAGTAGGTGCTAATCAGCTCTGGGTCTAAAGACACAGCTCTAATTGTAAGCGCAGAACATATACTGTATGTTGATGGTGCAGACATACAGGTGACGCGTTCATTGGTTTCACTTGGTGTTGGTGTGATTCCAACAAACAAATGTATGATATAAAATCCTCACATAGTGACATATTTCAACCCTTTGTTTGTGTAGTTTGGATGATTATGGCTTGCAGTCAATGTTGTTTTACCAAATAAAGATACATCTCACTGGGAAAGTGATGAGTCTGTCATGTATTAGTTTCACATTGTTGAATTAGAAAAGTAAATGGAGTTTTGAACAATATCATAATTTTCAGATGTGGTTCACTTATATTTGTTTTAACCTGTTTAATGGTTCACTAAGATTTATTTTAACCTGTTTAATGGTTCACTAAGATTTGTTTTGACCTGTTTAACTCATTGACTGCTATTGACGTGGAAACACGTCAAACCAAATAGCACAGTTGTCTGCCATTGACGTGTTAACACGTCAATTGCGTTTTCCGCTATTTTCATGTTCCCAAGTGTCTATAATATCTAATATGTATGGGTATTAGCTTAAGAGCATATTTTATCGAGCCAGCAGGTGGCAGCACCTGCTGGTTTGAAAACCGCTAGATGCACTTGTTGTGCCTCTTTTTTCGCAGCTTTTTGGTGATTTCAGTAAAACTTCCATCTACTCGACTGGGGATTACAGGGGAACGAAAAAAGCTAGAAACAAAAGTCTTTTTGCTGATGAAAGTTGACAGTCCATTCTTTCAGAATCTGTTTTCGGTCATATTACACAATATTCTGTGGGTCTTGAAAAATGTGTAAAAAACCATCAGAAACGGCTGGGAATATGGGAGTACCTGTTCTGAAATAGGCTGGCAGGCAATCAAGAATTGTTCTACTTCTAATTCATAGAATAGTCAAGTTTAGAATCTAGACCATAAAACGCATTTACTCTGACTAATTAAATTACGAATTGGGCACCTGGCCCTAACTGAAGACAGAAACGGCACTCTGCATTACGGCATAATTTATTTTTTAAATTGTCACAGTATACTTTTGTTACATTCTGGCTAATGCCAGATTGTAACAAGGTAGTAACCTTGTTACTGTAATATATTGATAAAAATGTAGGGCGGTAAATCCTTGCTAATAAAAAGTATAACTTTCTTTTTATGCAGGAAATTATATCTAAAATATGCAGCCCTTCACACAATGGTGAAACCTTTTCCCTTGTGAACCTGGAGTTTGGAGAAGAGAGTAATTCTGGCATCCAACATTTTAATCCCCTCTATGAATTTGACCACCTTGGCAAGAAGAAACTTGAACAGGTATGTCACTCCAGTTTTGTAATTTAACTTAATAGTCAATTTGTATATTCAGTCTTTCAGGTCAACAATTACTTCAATTCCCCCGTTTGAATTTTTTGTTTTTGATTTTTGGGTTTTACCTTGATTTTTGTTATGTGATGCTGGTATTATTTATTGTCACCAATATCACTTAAAAGTAACACATTTTCTCCCAAATTAATGAAACATAATTGTTTTATGGTGGGATATACTGTAGGTGTCTTTCTATGATGCCAACAATTCTAAGGCCACATCTACTACCTATAGTTTTAATAAGTTCCCTGCAACCTGGAGCCCAAGAAGAACAGCAATAATAAATGAGCTGTTAGAAAACTAAATTTGATCCCTCAGGATGCAGATTAATCTTATTTACCCAACTGCATTAGGTGTATACATTTAATGACGTGATTGTTTTTCAGGACCCCAAGACTTGTTTTGCCTCTTTGGGCTTATCACAAGAGCAAGCATAGCTTTGCATAGAAACATCCTATTAAGAGAATGATTAAAATGCCTTCTCCGCTTGAGGTGCTTGTGTTGTTTGTCAAATAAAATAGGGGGAGGAGGGAAGAAGTTACACCCATCAATCACCTATGAGGAAAGAACACCAAGCGGAGAGAAAGGGGGAAGGAGTCAAGTTCTCCTTTGTCAATAAAACTCAGCCCGGAGTTAAGAGTGACATTTCGGCAATCAAAGCAATTTGATTTTTATTTGCCTCCTCAAAGTGGAGCAAGTAATACGTTTGTGTATGTGTGTTAAAGTAAAAAGAGAGAAGGATAACAACTGAAAGAACAAGGTAGAAGTGGAGGTCTGGATAGGTGCCACTGAAAAAATCAACAAAAACACAAGGCACTGAGTTAAGAGTAACGACTGCTTCCCAAAATTGAATTATCTTTCTATATGACTACATCTCCCCAAATGGATTTATAAATTAATTGCTGTCTTATTGGAATAAAAATCCTCCTTGTGCAGACATGATTGATCGCAACATGTCAGTGGGCGGTGCTGGGGACCCCCTCCTCTACTGTTAGTGGCTCCCAGCTGGAGCAGTAATGCACTGATGGTATTAAGCTTGATTAATAACTAACAATACACTTTCCTCATGCATCAACAGAGTGCACTTGTCGACTGGGCATGGGACTGGCCACAGCTGCTGCCAACAGTTCAGGGCATGAGTGAGGTCACCTTCAAAAATATCCTGGCAAACAGGTAAAGTAGATTTTCATTCATCTTAGAAATATTCAAATGATTCAGTTGTACTAGGGTATTCGAACGTGATCTGCTCGTATACTTAAACATAGCGCTTACTTTGAAAACAACTAAAGCTTAAATCTACCCCTTGCCCTTCAACTGTTCAGCTTTATCAAATGAAAAGGCTGTGAACTGCTCTCATTCAGGACTGAACGAGTACTGAACTGAACTAGGTCGAGACAAGAACTGAACCAGGACTGAGCCATGTCTACAGAAGAACTGGCCCAAATTCTAAACTAGTCTGCCTCCAAATAGGGCTCAACCAGATCCAAGTGTACCTCCAATTAACTCAAACGTCGATATGCCAATTTACAAGCGGTGAGTTACAGCTGGATGATCACAGAGTTGTAGACAAACTCCACTCTGTGTGATGCATCAGAGGAGATGTTAGTGTTTGAGTACACACACAATTATTATACTGTATGGCTCACTCCACACTAAAGTGTATCAATGTGTTACATTTTGGTCAATTACACAAAAAAGTCCAGAAAAGTCCGTGGCTGTTACTGCTGAATGTTCACAGACCCACAGCCGTTTTGGACGTAACAAAAGTGGACACGATTGTTACGTCCAAACGCCTAGTTATTGAGTAATATTTTTTTTGCATAATGTAAAATCTATAATTACATGCATATTGATAATATATGATATAATATTATATATATATATATTTGATATAATAATATCTCCAACCATTAACCATTAAATAGTCTTCTCTGTCCTGTTCATTCTTCCATTCACAAAGTCTCCAACATGACATGTCCTAAATGTAAGAAATATGTCCCCAATTCAAGTTCAATACAATTTTTTTGAAAGGCATCCATTTTTCTTGAAATAGTTTTAGCTGCCCTTCTGAGATTATACTATGTATATATACAGGCTACATAGTATTAAAAAATGTTTAGGTACAAACAATTTTAGTTCATACATTTATTTTATTGTCGCTTGAAGTTAGATCGAGCAATGGTACAGTTTAGTGTAGAGTGAGCCGTATGTATTTGTATTCAACCACAAGTTCATTATTGGGAACTATTCGTGTGAAAACTCATCTGTCTGTACAGGAATATATTGGCTTAAGGTGTGCACACAGGAATAATGACGCTCTTTAGGGGATAAGCGTCCAAGTAGTAGATGCAGGGATGTAATTGAGGGAGGCGAGGCCCACGGTTCGGCAATTGTGTCTTTAGCATCCTGAAGTAATGGGGAGCTCAAAACATCCATCCGTCTTGGTTCATAGAATAGGCTCATACATTTTTAGGTTGATCGTATATTGTTTATAATGTCTGAGGCCTCCTACAGGTGGCACTACAGAGTTCATATTTTTTGTGGAACATTTACGGCATAACGCTCAATGTGAATTTCAGCACTATAGATTTTAGCCTGTGGCCCTGAGAGGTTAAAACTTCGAAGAGTCTAGATCAGGAATTGGCAAATTACGAGTCATTGCGATGAAAAACCTCGGCCTAGTATGCATTAAACAATAAACAAAGTCAACAGTGGCGCCGAAATCTCACGCCATTATGGCAGACTTCCTCTTCGTTATAGAGCAGTGTTTTTTAGGTGCTGTTTACACGAGGACGCTGCGACTGTAAAAAGTTAGAGTTGGGTATCGGATCGACCTTTTGTTTATATAAAGGCGGTGTTTTTTGGGGGGTGAAAAGGCAAGGGTTGAGAAACAGCCTCATATAGAAACAGAACATATACACTGCGCGGCGGGAGGCTGTTTCACAACTGTGTAGAAAAAAAAAAGGTGTGAATTCTCTACCCGCTATGACCTCACCACTTCCCGGTACGTACATTTTGGACATGTGCAGTAGCCGAGAACAAACGTAAACAACAATGGCGGCTGGTCAACTAATGCTACGTGTGCAAGCGCTACATGGAGGAGAATTCTACTCCTTCATTCGTCCAAACGAAACCACACAAAGCTGTAGTTTCAGTTTCCAATTTTGCTGCTACTGTTAAATGCAGAATGATGTTGGTGCATTCTTTCACGTATTTGCCGTGGCCTGAGTAGAAGGTGGTTGATGAAGTGGTCAACTGCTGGGGGTTGCGTGTGTCGTGTTGTAAAGTTCTATTGCCCACTACTGACCTGGCGCTAGAACTACATTGTCTTCCGTTGTCGTATAAACACTGTGCCCTTTTATTAAGGAGCCTGTTGTTTTTTGCTAAGTGCTTTGCAGCGTCTCCGCAGTGTCTTCGTCTAAATGGGGCCTTAGGCTTGACTAATATAGATCTATCACTGTTTTGAATTTTGTTTATCTTCTCGAAACTGTTTTTAGGAGGCGTCATTGAGTCAGCTAACATCAGACGGTTTGGGTGAAAATGCAGTGAAATGTGAATATTTCCTTCTGTTCGGGACAAAAAACCAAGATTTTCAATGAAACGTGAATTAGGAATTAGTCTAAACATTGAATGACTAATATATCTGGAGAGGGTTCTGTGTATCATGTACAAAGCATTTCATTCAATATTATATTATTCATCATAAACTCTTTTAACATGACTGAATGATTGATTCAAGTACAAAAAGGTCTTCTCCCTTGTCCCACATGTCCTTGTCTCCCTTTAAAGACTAGTAACAGAAGGAGACAGATGTTGGTCACCTGATTGAAGACTTTTTCCCGAAGTCCATCTGACCTCTCCACACTTTCCTGTTTCGCTTTGCAATGTGTATAAATATTTATTCAGGTTTGTGACACATATTAAATGACACTACTTCAGGCTATTTCATGCTTTCCATTCACAGCTGTCACACTGCCAGCAAACAGGAGCCATGGGGCTACTGCACCTTGTCTCCTCACCGACACCCAATCCATTCTAAATTACCGCCATTGTAACACATGCACACCTTTCTAACAAAGGGCAAGCTTTGCATCTGCCAAGGACACAGGTCTAATAAGGGTGAAGTGCACTGCTCGGTGCACTGCTCTGATGCGCTCGGCCGGCTCAATGCCGTTGCTCTTCTTCCAACATGCAAGTCAACTGTTTTTTTCTCTCTCTTTTAGTATAATTTAGTTCATTAATAGGTGCTGAATATAAAATCGATTTTAGAGTGGGGCTTCAATTGAGAATGTGAGGTGATATGACGAGTGAGCTCTCAATACTGTCAAGAGATCAGAGGAAGTTATAAATACATTTCATTGTATTTCCCTATTTACACATCCAAAAGAGTATTTTCTTTTCTCATTTAATATGTGCTGACTTCTGACAACTTTCTTTTCTTTTCATGACACACATGGGTTTGGCTGTGACCCGCTAACCTCCTATCTATTGTCCTTGTGGCAAGATAGTTATTGTGCCTTAGGTTTTTGTCATATTCAAATGTAGCAAGGCTATGAATTAAGAGCTTTTACAATTGGCCATCATTGTTCAGATGACTTCATTAGCAGAGCGGCACACGCAGAGACACTCATGCTCACATAAAAATTCTGCCCTGCTGCTTCCACACTGTTACACTGTGGCCCTCAGACAGGAGCCAGTGGATTTATACAGGTGCGTGTGTCCTTCTTTGTCACCTGTCACTTGAGTTCCCTCACCGCGATGGCTCATCCATCATCTGCAGATTGAGCTTTTCAGCAGAAACCAGACTGATTAATACCACCCCCAGAGCCCCAGGGTTGCCTGGTTGACAGGCTGACCTGGCCTGGCAGCTTGTTCAGGAAAGACATCGCTAATCCAACTTTTTGAGACTTTTTGAGCTTATGCCAAGTGCCATCTTAAAGGAACAAAATTACATCATTGTTCCAACGAAGCAAACTTTGACTTCTTTATTTTTTGTATTTCTCCTTTATACTTTTTGAAAGCAATAGTTTATTTGTATCACTTTAACTTTAACTAAGTACCCAGGTTAACTGGGTACTTAACATTTCACCTTGAAGAAAATACCTTGAAGGTTCTTCAGTAATTGTTAAAATATATATATATATATATATATATTTTATCTTGCTCGAATAAATTAGACTCGTCTTTATTGTAAAGGAAAAAGGCATAGACTCAAAGTTCCAAGTGATACAACTGAATAGTTTCACTTATGCTAGGGGTCTAGGAATGGTTAGCTTATCGGTTTTGTCCTTGGACTCCCCTTGAATTTTTTTATTTTTATAATGAAGTTTGTCACAGCATTTTTCTATATAAAGCTATCCAAAGCAAAACAGACCCTTTATATCTTTAGCACCAATGTCCTTTCTTTTCTAACCATGATTGTGAGAGTAGGCCTTTGTGAACTGTAATTGTTGTGTCATTTCTTCTTTGAGTCTTTTGGAAGTACAGGGTTGGAATTTAAGTCTGAAAGGAGACTTGATGTTGTTCCAAGGTGACTTTTTAAATTGCATTGGTGTGTGTTTGTGTCATTGAGGTCACCTGACCTTCTTGATAAGGTGTTGCCAAGTATGAGAGATGAAGGTTTGTGTGTCACATGGCAGCTCTGCTACTCCATCATAAAACACGATTTCAACCAAGGACATTCATGCTAACATCTACAAACCTACCCACGGCTATGTCACCTGTATTCCAAAATAGTAACTGATGAGAGCAGCATAATCTTCCTAATTTCGCCTCTTATACATTTTATATCACTTTTCTGATGTCGCATTTATTCTGAATTTGGTAATTGAATATGTTAAGTCACACTGTAAGTACTGAACACTAAAGCATTTCCACTGCATTGTCTCGTTGTTGCAGTTACCCTCAGGTCTATAACAATAGCAGTTTGTGGAAAAATGCCAGTCTGTGGCATTCTCTTGCTTGAGCAACTCCTTAAATTGCGGCGATAGACGCTTGTGCTTTCAGGAAGTGGGCAAACGCCATCTGTTCACAGGCGCTGCCATATGGCAGGCCTTTTTCTCAGGGAATAAAATAAAAACAAATATGTCAGAATGTTCGTCTTCCTCCATGGACGCTGATCAACCTAGGGAGAAGCTGTGTCTGAGTGTGTCTGGATTAATGGTCTTACTTTA